TGGTGCATGAAGCGGGCTTGCTTGTACACAGACCATGAGACCTAGATTCCAAACCAGACGTTCAGTCAATCCCCAGGGCTGGGGAGTGACGTCTGACCAAGTGCGGCAGCTTGGAGTCAGTTTGCTTGTTTTCTCTTCATCTCAAGAAGTTCCAGGAAATGTCGCTGCAGAGGTCAGGGCTGCTATTATCTCAAGCTTCACTTCCCGTGGCCCCTGGATGTACCAAGAGATCAAGAGGACAAGCTACATCTGCTCTGGGGCCTGGACAGTTATTCTGTTTGGGGCAAGAAGCACCCTCTGACTTCTTTGGAGTTTTGTATTTTCATGCCAGGGCCTATTCCTGAGGGGTAGAACTTTCTGGAATGAGGGGAATTACTGTGTGCTGTTGAGAAAGCTGTAGGCACATTTAGCAAGCAGATAAGATCCAGAGGGGAAGCCTCCATAGGAGCAGGTGCCTGTATGGTGGTGTGTCCCAGTACCCACCCAACCCTGAATCTCCTGCCTTCTTCTTCTCTGGATTGACAGGACCTCTACCACTGAGCCATGCTGCTAGATTCATGCCTGTGACCAGAGTCACAGCCACAGCACCTGGCCCCATGGTCACAGGTGCAGACTCTTGGTTCCTCCAATCAGCCAGTGGTCCCCATGGACCCAGCCCTGGGAGAGGGAACAGACACAGCTGTTGGGGGTAAGGGTGTGTGTGTGTTGGAAAAGGCAGAATGCCCAGCTGGGAAGCAGTGGTCCTCTGGCAACCTGGATGGGGTCAGAAGGAGAGCAGGAGAAAGAGAAGAGAGGAAGTGGGCTGTGAAAAAGGAGCCCTGGACTAAAGTCAGATTTCACCAGCAGCATCATTACGCCAGCATGTCTGAGATTCTTTTGAAGGTGAACCAAATCCTGGGCCCCTCCCACAGTGGGGCTGGGAAACAATGAGGGTCATCTCCTCTCTACTCTAACCTGGTATTTCCTTTTCTCTTAGCTCCTGATCTCAAACCAACATTAAGAGGTGATATTTAAAAAAACACTGGCTGGCAGGAAAGGAGACTTCACCTTACCCAATGCTGTGATTCTGGGATTTTGTGAATGAGGATAAACATTTGACATTTGGGTGGTGTGTGCAATACCCTGGAGGATCTGCTCTGAGCTCTCTGACCTATGACATCCATAGGTGGTCTGTGTTGGAGCCAGACTGTCAGGCTGCCCCTTCAACCCACCAGTGAGTGCACCTTGGCTGTTCACAGCCCTCTGTCAGCACCAGATTGTGGTGGCCAGGAGGTCAGGCAGGGATGCAGGGCTCTGCAGGGCCAGTGGCAGGGGCCAGGGTCTAGGGCCTATGGGTCCCTACAGGTAGTCTCCAGGCCCAGGGCACCTTTCAGGTATTCAAGCACTGCAAGCCTTGTACTTGCCAGCTCCTCCACACCCCCTTGTCCATTCTGCTTTCTCTCTGTGCCTTTCGGGCTTGGTTGCTCTCCTTCCCCCTCGTACATAGGAGTCTTGCCTCTTCTGTGAGGCATGAACTGCGCCTCTTCCAGCATAAGCCAACACAGCTTACATATACAGTGTTAATGTTACTGGTGAACTTCCTTTGTGTTCTCATGATATCAACAAATAATTAAAATGATCCCTACTTAGGGGGGAAGTGAATGGGGGCACAGAGAGGCTGCATGGTTAATTTTGATGTTGGACTTCAGGTGGCCCCAGGCCCTGCACTTCCTGTGTCTTCTTTGGGTAATGATGTGCGTACATGCTGACATGCATGTACACTTCCCTGGGGAGGGGAAACTCTACCCATGAAATTCTAGGGGAGGAGCTAGAACTGTTATTTTTTTTTTTAAACATTTCCTTATTTAATAGTCATAAGTGTTCGGAGTGCATACAATCACACCCCCTAGATTCTTAGAAAGGGATTATTACTTTGAAAATTCCCCAGTCATTATTCTTTCTAGAAAGCCCTGTCATCCCCTCTCTTGGTCACTTATCCAGCAGGAACCACTTCAAGGTGTCCTCCCAACACACACACACACACACACACACACTGTGGTTCTTGGGTACTCTAGGCACAGGAAGGACTGAAATTTCTACCCCTTTAAGGTTGGGTAACACACACCCCCCTCCAGGAAACCTCCCCTGCTGCAGCCTGGTCCTCTGCACATCTCAGCAGTGCTCAGGCATCCTAGTTAGGTGGCATATGATCATTTACATCCCTGTCACTATTGCAGGCCACTGTTTCATCTGACATTACAAGCAAGTCTTCTAGCTTCTTGAGCATGAAAAGGAAGCTGTAAAGTCAGGAAGCTTCTGTGTTAGCTGCTGGGTCCACCTCTGGCATGATCCACTTCAGCAAACTCTCCCTTGAGTATATCTGGTTGGCAGGACTCAGAATCACAAGGATGTGATTTTAAGGCTGTGAACCTGGTTGCAAGGGAGTCTGAGAACTGTCGTTCTTCTCTTTCCAAGCTGTGCATTCTCTATCTAACTCAAGGTAGACAAACACCCGGTCAATCCTCAGTGTCTATATAATCACAGAAAGAAGACAGGTCCTATGAGTATTTGCCTCCATTAGTGTGAAGTTCTTCAGCTTAAAAAGTGACATTGAAGGACTGAGTCTGGGACATTACAGCAAATGGCTCAGACACTAAAGGACTTTGTGCCAATCACTTTTGCCTTCAGCTTCAGGTGACCTTGGTTCTTGAGAAAGCAGAAGCTCAATCTCCTAGAAGACTTGCCTTTACACTTACTCAAGGGACTGAACTATGGAACGAACTTAGCAGGTATTTTGGTTGTGATAGTTAGGTGATGCTGGGTGAGAAATAGCCCATGACTGTCAGTGGCTTAAAATTAAAATGACTAGAGTTTGTATCTTGCTCATGCTACCTGTCCAGTGCAGACTGGTAAGGGATTTTAGAGAGACCCAGGAACCTGGGCTCACCAAGGCTCCCACATGCATTCCTGGCCAGGCAAGAGAAGCAGAATGTAGCAAATTGCACACTTGTTTCTGCCCAGAAGGGTCATGTTGCTAACCACCATAAGGCGCCAGCCAAAGCCTAACTTCAAAAGGGTAGAACGTTTGGTCCTTCCTGTGCCTAGAGGACCCAAGAACCACAGTGTGGGGAACACTAACCGCCTCCACAGGGAGGTGGTGGGGAGAGCTGCATCCTTACTTCCTCCTGTTTCCCTCACGGCTCCAACTAGGATTACTGACATTCCCTATTACCATTTTTCTGTCCCTCCAAGCACTGAAAATTTCAACTTAAAAGATACTGATAAAATTTTCACTTGAAACGGCCTGTGGAAAGCCAGCACAGTCCCCAGAGACAAAATTCTCATCATGCTTTTCCTCAAATACATCAATTTTTCTGAGTCTGTCATGATTTTGTGGGCTGGGAATGCTATGTGTTTATTTTTGTACAAAAACCCTGTCTTCCTTGCATTAGAGAAGGGAGATGATGGGCCCGAGAGGCAGACCCCAGGAGTTTTTGGTTTTGGTTCAAGAGCCCCACCCCCACCCTCAGCTTTCTCTGACCGCCTTCCACCCCACCCCCCTCATTGGAAGCCATTTTTGACTCTCATGAGTCCCCACTTTGACTGCCGCCCCCATCCCAGCTCCTGTCATAGTCCCTCATTGTATGTATAATGTTTGTATAAATGTCTCACTTCCCCAACTAGGCTGTGAGCTCTTTGAGAGCTGGAACTTGATTTGATTTAATCCACCTAGAACTGTCCCCACCTGCACAGATGGCATCTACCATCTGTGGATAGCTCAATGGATGTCTGAGTCTCATCTTAGGGTCTTTTCTGCAGGAGATTCTCAGGGTCTTCTGAACGGAAAAATGGATGGATAGAGGCATGGATGGATGGACAAATTAGAGAATAAGTCTGAATCTGTACAGAGGCTAGTTAGCATCTCACAGGGAAAATAAGTCTGTTTCCCCAACATGGCTCTGCTAATCAGCTAACACGTAAACAAACGTCTGCTCCTGGAACAGAGGAGACCAATGGGAATGGGGTGACGCAGGGCAACCTCTCACCACTCTTCAAACTGGGGCCAGGCCCTGCTATGGCAGCAGTGTTCCCTGTACAAGACTGAACCCTCAGGTGCCAGGGGCAGGTTTTCTGGGCATGGGGCATAGGGCATGGCTCTTCCTGTCTGAGCATTTCTGTGGTCCAGACTGAGTGTGGGGAAAGGCAGGCCAGGCCAGTGGGGCCTCTAGGGCTTCTTGCCGGCGAGACTGCCATGACAAGGCTCTGCTCTCCACTTTAAATGTTCTCCAGGCTGAGGCAGGAGAGTTCCCCAAGCCCCCAGAGACTGTGAGAGGTCAACAGGTCCAGGCAGCAGGGGCAGAGGGACAGCCCCAGAGAAAGTGTTCCCCATCTGTCCTCTCATCTGTGGGGAGAGGCTCAAACACCATTTCCTCTTTCTCAGGAGATGGGAGAAGTGTCAACATGGAATTCCCATGCCTCCCAGATCTCTCCAGAGTGGAGCCTTGAAGAAGGGAGGGGAGAGACACTGGGAAAGGAAGGGCAGGAAAGTGGCACATGTGTGTGTCCAAAGGGGGGTGGGGTGAGGGGACTGACAGATACTCTTCTCCATCTGAAATAAAGACAAAAACCTCCCCTCACTCTGCTGTCCTTCCCATTCCCCTTCAGTTGAAATAAAGGCATAGAGCTGAGAAAAGGTCCCCTGCTGAGCTTGGCACCTGAATTAGAAGAGGTTGGACCTCTGTGCCTTGGTTTTCCTTTGGTCTTCATTTCATGAGAAAGAGAAATGTGTGGATGCAGAAGGAAGCCCAGGAGTTGGGGACCATCTCCCCTCCAGAGTGGTAGAGTGGTTCCACCAGGGCAGCCTGGGTAGTCAGTGGGCCTTGAGAAGCACCAGGCCAACGGGACACTACCTGTGGATGCTGGCTGTGGGTGACCCCGATCGTCTGCCAGAAGTGCCCAAGTTAAGAGTCCAACTCCTCTCCGTCAGCCTCCCACAGAATCATGCTCTATGGCCAAGCAGATACCAAAGGATAAATGTGCTATATTAACATGAATACTAATGACAAATGCACTGCAGTAGTAAGCACATTGTAGATACATAGAATATTCTCTATATAGTCTGAACATAGATACAAAATAACTTATACTTGTTTTTCTTTTCCATCACAGTAGGAGCATAGCATACAAAGTGACTGGTTCCGTGGCCACAAAGCAAGCCAAGGGAGAGATCATAAGGGCGGCTGTAGGGCATCGAGGATGGTGGGGATTTGCCAGACACTGCAGTCGTGGGTCCTGCAGGGAACACAGCCTCAGACCTCTTGAACTGGCCTTCAGGACAGTCAGCAGGAGGTCCCACTGGAGAAGAGTTGGAGGCTGCATTTGAGCGGGGATGATTCAGGCTGCGGGGTGGGAGGCGGAGCAGAGTCAGAGGCAAACAGCACCCAACAGGCCAGCTCACATTCCCGCTGCTGCTGTTGGGCTTCTGCGAGGTTGGGAACATGGGGCGCATCGCCAGAAGGCACGGTTTGCTTCTGTGCTGTGACAGATGGCCAGACTGATGGCCCACCAAATGCTGGCTGGCCCTGCTCCCTTGCTAGCCTTCTCTGGGAGCCCGTGAGGGGCCTGTGTGCTCAGCTAACCCTTCACAGCTTGTCATTAGCCAGAAGCACAGGGATCCTGTGCATCATCACAGCAGAGGGCAGAGTCTGTGGCCCTAGCTCCATCACATGTGAGCTGTGTGACCTGGGAGGGTCCCCTGAACTCTACTGAGTCTCAGGCCCAAATGGGAGGGGCTGACACAGACTTCCTTGGAGAGTGGGTAAGGACAACTTGGAATAAGGTATATGAAGCGCCTGACGCAGCTCCTGGCACGCAGAAGGGGTGGATAAATGTGTCAAATACAAGCATCCACACAGAGGCCAGGTGGGGAAAAACAGGAATCTCACAAAACCTGTGGAATAAAAGCACCGTTGACTGGCTACAAGAGCAACGGATGACAGGACAGTTTCTTTGCTTTCTTTGCTGCCAAGTTTTCCCCTTCTCTTTCTGGTTCCGGGATTCTTTGAAAGGAAGTGCAAGCAAGTTTAAAGCCAGGTCTGCTGAGGCAGTCAGAGCCTCAGCATGGGAAAGAAAAGGGCTCATGGCTGCAGCTACGTCTCTTCAAGTCTGGGGCCTGGTTCCCTGAGGACGCTTCCCCCTTCACGCCCCTCCCTGCAGAAGCCCCCCTCCCTTCCCATCTCCTGGCCCCAGAGCAGATTTCATGTTAGCAAGTCAAAGAGGTGGGGATAAAGCATAGAAAAAAGTGGATTGTCTATTAAGTGAAAAGCCTTTCCATCTGCTCTGGGTAAGGGGAATCTGGAGGTGGGTGGGCCATCTGTGGCCAAGTAAACTGCCTCCACAGGAGAAGGTGCGTTTCCAGGCAGTGGGACCAAGGAGGGAAAGAGGGATGGAGATTAAGGTGTGACTCCTGGGACTCTGGGTGCTTCTGTGCTTCAGCTAATTCTGAGCACTTGGAGATGTATCCTGGAAACCTGGGGATCCTTGTTCCCTCCTATTTGCAGTGCCGGTCTCAGCATCTGTGTGTGTGTGTGTGTGTGTGTGTGTGTGAGATCGCCTCTCCCATCTCCTCTAACACCTGCCTGCTCTGGACCTCCCCGCCTTCCATCACTCAGCGGCCTTCCTTTTGGAGGGGGGTACAAGGTGGGCGGGCAGCTCATTGGGCAGCTCATGCCCCTCCAGCTTGACCTTGATGAGGTGGTTGGCCAGTGCGAACTCCTCATCATCCAGCATGCCATCCTTGTCAATGTCGGCCAGCTTCCAGATCTTGCCCAGCACGCTGTTGGGCAGCTTGGAGCGCACCATCTCCTTCTTGGCATTGGCGCCCGTGATCTTGCCATCCACCGGTGACAGGGTGTAGAAGATCTCATCGTACATGGGCTTGTCCCTGGCCACCACCCACTCAGCATCATCGATGCCCTCCCCGGCCCCCTCCCCATAGCCGTGCCCGAAGGGGCCATGGAGGGTGCCCTCGAACGCTCCGCCCTTCACTATCTGGGCGGGTTGCTGGGATTCTTCCTGGCGCACCAACACCATGAGCTGGGCAATGTCATGAGCCAGCATGTCATCCACCACCTCCAGCAGCTTGCTTTTCAGGGGCTGGAATTTGCTAAAATCCTGGGCTTGTAGCTGGTCCTGGGAAGAGAGAGAGAAAAAAGGTGAGGACAGAAGACAGTGGGCCCAGAAAATATATGAGAGAAAGAGACAAAAGGCATATTGGTTCTTGGTGGATTTTTCAGGAGAGAGGCTAATTGCAGGCGTTGGAGAAGAAAGAGATTTAACAACTGGTTTGATCTGTTTGGGGCTTTCCTGATAGCTCAGTTGGTAAAGAATCTGCCTGCAATGCAGGAGACCCCAGTTTGATTCCTGGGTTGGGAAGATCCTCTGGAAAAGGGATAGGCTACCCACTCCAGTATTCTTGGGCTTCCCTGCTGGCTCAGTTGGTAAAGAATCTATCTGCAATGGAAGACCTGGGTTTGATCCCTGGGTTGGGAAGATCCTCTGGAGTAGGGAAAGGCTACCAACACCAGTATTCTGGCCTGGAGAATTCCATGGACTGTATAGTCCACAGGGTTGCAAAGAGTTGGACATGACTGAGCAACTTTCACTTCACTTTGATCTGTTTGGATTCCTTTAGTGTTCTAGGAAGCAAATACAGTCAGATCTCCATATCTGAGGGCTCTGCTTTTGTGGATACTACATCATTTTATATCATAATGAACTTGAGCATCCATGGATTTTGGGATCTGTGAAGGGTCCTGGAACCAATCCCATGTGCATACCAAGGGACAACAGTCATTAAATTTCTAAGTTCCTTTTGGCTATTGATTGAACAGTGAGTGGTTCTTGAATGCTCCACCCTTCTGAGACTGAGTCATGTGGGTCTCTACTTCAAGAAGGGTTACACTTGAAAACACACTCCACTACATGAGCTCATTCTCTTCCTTGTGACCTTCTGAGAGTGGAAAATCACATTCTATCACCATTCAGGAAGGAAAAAGGGAGGCACAGGCAGTGAGAAATAAATCACAGTAGAAGCCAAAGGTCATTCCCAAGCCAGTGGTTCTTAATCAGGATGCTTGAGGGATCATCTGGAGAGATTTTTCAATGATCAGCTTCTCCCTGAGGGTTCTGACTCAGGAGGCAGGAGCAGGTAGGCAAGTTTTATAAAAGCTCCCCTCCTTGCCTTCCCATGACCACCACACTACATGGTAAAAGAAATGTGTTCTGCTTTGCATGTCTTTGCCATTTTTAAAGGTCCCAGGTCTCAAAACATCCCCAGATTCTCCTTGGCTGCTATAATGACAAGATGAGAGCTTTCGGCTCCCACCCTGGCTTTGGCCACAGCAATCTCAGGACACTGGGAGGAGGCCAGTTTACAGGGGACAGTTTCAGGACAAGTACACTACACAAAAATTTAGAAAACACCCATGGCTATATTTCAAGACCAAGTGTGAGCCTGGGCATCTTCACCTCCCTTCCAGGGTAGGGCTGGGAGGGGTGTGGAGGGTGGAACAGACAAGCTCTTTCTCCTACCCTTAGGCGCAGCCTCCCCAGGTCTCTGTCTCTCCCAGCCTGTCCATGTTGAGGTGTGTTTTGTGGGCTCCCAACTAGGGGTCCCAGTGTCTTCCAGGGGTCACAGTGAGTACTCCATCAGCCCACACATACGTCCCCACAGTACAGTCATTTACATATTGAACCAGCATCCCTAACAGAACCTGACATCAGGTGGGCAAAAAAGTGAGAAGGTGAAACCATCTGTGTTGCAGAAGAATTCCTCACATTAAAAAGTCATGTGATCCCTTTCAAATGTCATCTTCCCCAAAGTTTGCTTACAGATCATTAAATTCTTAACAGAAAGAGAAACTGAAAGTTGAAACCCAAATTATGTGAAAACAATTCTGAAACAAGTGACTGGCTCGATGTGGATAGTTATAGGAACGAACGGATACATGAACAAATGCATACTCTGGACGACTATGTTTTTCTTTCTTTTTCTTTTACTAGGTAGGAAAGCAAAAATGCATATATTTGGGACTACATTGATGTTCTGATACCCTCTGAGCAACAAGAGCAAAAGCAATATTACTACTACATCTGCTATTTTTTCTAATCCCCTGATTCTTGAAAACTTTTCCTTTTAAAATAATTACAGAATCATGGGAAGTTGCAAAAATCATGCAGAGGTAGGTTCCTTGTGGTCATCTCCCTGCCTCCTCTACTGGTGAAATCTCACCTAACTTGCTACTGCATTTAAACAGCATAGTCTATGCCAGGCCATGCTAACTGCCTTACAAATATTAATCTGATTTATGCTCACAGTATCCATATAAGGTGGTGCTTTTGTAGCCTCAACATGTAGACAAGAGACAAAAGGTCAGAGAGGATCCAGTTAGCAGGGTGTGGTAGGTTTTTGCTTAGACCTTGGACAGCTCCTGGGGTTTCTATTTGCAGCTTATGTAAACATTACTAAAACCATAGGCAGGTTAATTACACTTGTAAGCCTCAGTCTGCTCACCTGTGAAAGGGGAATGAAATGCATCCCCCAGAGGGTTGTTTTGGGGGAACATATGAAACTATGTGTGACCGACCCTGGCCCAAGAGAGGCGCCCATGGTGCACCCCAAAGATGACAAACTCCTGTACAGACTTCTGCTTCTCAGTGGTGTATGTTCAAATCACTGCCAAGGCAGATCTCAGCAGTAAACTTAAGCAACGAAGGGCCAAGAGAATGTTTGTCAGGTGACTTGTCCTGTTTCACATGATGTAGTGGGGATCCCAAACCAGTGGTGACCGGGACAGGGTAGGTATCAGAGCCCCCTCTAACACCGCTGCCCACTGGGAGCACCAGGGCTCCATGTTTCTCCCAGGGCCCAGGTCTGGCACCTATTGGACCAGTGTCAGCCCAGCAGGAAGGGCAGGTCTAGGACCACCTGCCTGCCTATTGATTCTGGGCTGAGAAGAGTTTCCCCAGAAGATCCAAGGGTGGCCTACTCCAAGCCTGAGCTGCTCAGCCAACTTGTCCCTTTCCTGGAGCCCCCAGATCCTGGTTACCTGCATCCTCTTCAGGTTGGGGAAGTCCCCAGGTGAGATCTGGTGCTCCCGCTCAATCTGGCCATATATCTCGGCCAGATTGTTCACCAGCTCCTTCTTCTTGTTGTCCTTTCCGAACATGGAGGGCATCTCCTTCTTCAGAGAGCTGATGATGTAGGCGTGAACCTGAATAACAGGGGCAGAGAGAAGCCTTCAGATCAAGACCTCTAGTTCTTTCCTTGACCATCAAGATCAAGTTCTTTCCTTCCCTCCAGGGCACCTCTCACCCCATCTTTCCCCACAAATCCCTCCTCCTGCTCCTACTTCTGAAATAATTTGTTTCTATCCTCTTTCTCTTCCATTTTTTATAGCACTAAGCTGTTTCACCAGATCGTGGGGAAAGGGGAGATTGTGAGGAGGTTAAGGTCAAGGCAGTAACAGGGATGGTAGTTCTGGTGATGATGTTGTTGAGAAGACAGTAACAACAGCTGACATGAACAAAGCACTTGTGAGGACGCCAGGCACTGTGATGAGGGCTTTTCCGTTTTATTCTATGTTGTCTTCTAACCCTTTCATCTCACAGATGTGGAAGCAGGCACAGAGCAACTAAGAGCCTTGCTGAGGTTGGGATCACACAGTAAACTATGGAGTTGACTCTGATCTGGCCATCTGATGCCAGGGCATGTCATCGTAACCACCACGCTACCCTGCCCAACCCTCCGAGTGGGCACGGCTGACGCTCACAACGCAGTGACTACTGGACATCCTCACGTGGGCAGACAATAGCTCAGGGTTGCAGGCAGTAGCCCTCTCCCCTTGCAGCTGACCCCATCCCCAAACCACTGGCCTCGCCCATGCTGTCCCTCTCCCGGAGGCAGCCTCACCTTGGCCAGCCTGGCTCTCTTGATGAGGTCATTCAGCTTGCGCAGGGCAGCATTTCGGGGCAGACTCTGGATGTCTCTGAACAGGTCCTGTTCCTCAGCCTCAAAGAGCTTCCGGTTATCTGGGATGAGAAGCGGGTGGGACCAGAAGGAGCCGATGTAGACCCGGATCACCTCCGGCGTGTTGACGATCTTGCCCAGGGACCACATGAGGGCCCCGTACACCCGCATCAGCTGCTGCGTCTCGATCTGGTCAGCCTTGTTCAGCACCACTCGCATCTTGTCCTCGTGGTTCTTGAGGGCTTTGATGACTTCTGAGAACTCATCGGAGATGTCCAGCTTGTGGGCGTCAAAAAGCAGGATGATGCGGTCCACCCGCTCGGCGAACCACTCGAGGACGGCAGCGAAGTCGTACCCTGTGGCAGAGCAGAGTTAGGGGGTGGGGCCTTTGGGGTGAAGGGTAGGGATTTGGGGTGAGGCGGCGGTGCAGTGGAAATAACATGGTCTCGGGAGTCAGATCTGGGTTCAACTCTGGCTCCTCCATCTTTTCACTATTTGGCCTTGAGCCAGTTACCAACTGTCTCTGAGTCAGTTTCTCCATCTATAAATGGGCAGACGAATAGTATCTAGATAATAAATTTTTAAGGACCAGAGATGCTCAGCTCACCTAGCAGCTAGAGAGGAAGCAGCTTCACCTCTCAGTCTCCTCTTTCATATAAAGGGCAATAGATGGGGATGTGAGGCTCAGAGAGGTCAAGTGACTTGCTCGAGGGCACACAGCCCAGGAGTAGCAGCGCTGGGATAAGGATGGAGGTGTTGGGCCTTCTGTTGCCCCCCGCTGCCACACCGCTGGCAGGGTAGTAGGAGCCCTTCCTTAGGTTCTGGGTGGGCTCAAAGACCCTGGCTCCCAACACCACAGGGTTTTACAGGCAGAGACCTTGGGGTCCCAGAGCTCTTTGCCACCATTGAGTCGGAGACTGAGCCAAAAGGAAAAAGCCAGCCGTTCCCTCCCTGCCTCACAGAGGAAGATTAGAGACCAGGGAGGGTCACTGAGTGAGAGGCAAGCAGCTCTGCTCGCCTATAACCAGGTCCTCAGCGCGAGTGCAGCAGAATCCCCCGGAGGGACTGTGAGAGCCTCAGACTTCGATTCAGTTCTCATCACGACCTCAATTCACCCCCACACCACCCTCTGAGGCAGGCACAGTCCCACTTTCCAGAAGAGAGACTCAGAGATGAGGGGAGAGTCAATCGCTGGTGTGTGTGTGTGTGTGTTGGGGAGGGGTTGTTCAGGACTAGACCCGGCTACAGGGCCCTGGGCACCCTACACAGGTCCTGTGGGCAGTGGTCCTGAGCCTGTGAGCCCCCTGCCTCCCACTCCCCTCCTTGTGCCCAGGAGGGACTCGCAGCTCCACTGAGCCCTGAGCTCCCTGCCCGCCTGCTCCAGGGGGGCCTGCAGCCTGCACCCACTCCCTCCCCCATCCCTTCCAAGGGCTGGCTCTGGCTATTTTTAATCATTCTCAGCACAGCCAGGTGGAGGGTGGCTCTCACTTCACCTCCAGAAGGCAACCCCTCAGAGTCATAGGCAGGAGGGGGCAGAGGGCTCAGAAAATCAAGGCAAACTGACTTCCGAGCCCCAGTGCCCCAACAACCTGGAAAACAGGTCGCGACCTTGCTGCTGTGGTGCCTGGAACCAGCAAGCTTGCCCTCCGCTGTGGCTGGGGAGGGCAGTGGGGCTCAGAGGCCTCTGCCCTTCTGCTGAGGCCCGCTCCCAAATCTAGCTGGACAGGGTTTTGGCGGTGGTGGTGCCGGCTATGGGGAGGGCGGCTGCAAAGAGCAGGCTGCCCCTTCCCTATGTCCCTCCCTCCTGTGTGCCAGGTTTCAGCCCTCACTGCTCAGCACACCTCATGTGGCTGTTGGTGGCAACTGCTCACCGTCAGCTGGGCAGCCAGAGTGGCTAGTCCTGGACACTTAATGACACGGCTCAAAGCAAGCCGCTGAGACTGCCCAGGGCCCAGGACCAGAGCGCAGGTTTTCTGGCTTTAAGCCCAGCTCTCCAGCCACCCCTCCACGGGCTAGGGAGATCGAAGGGGCCAGCGAAGCTACAGAGAAGAGGCCCCCGGCCTCTGAGCCCTCGCTAGTCCACAAGGATGGTAGCCTTGTACAAGGAGGCTCAGCTGCAAAGACCTGGAGTGGGCGGGGCAACTCCCAGAAGCCTGACTGGACCCCGCAGGGGGAGGGGCAGGAGAGGGACGACACCGGGCCAGTGCTGCCAGAACAGGGCCATGCCTGTCCCCACGGCTGGGCCAGGTGCCCTCAGGCGGGCGCCGGCCTCTCGGCTGACCCAGGGAACCGTCAGGATGCATCCTCCTCCTGCTGCACTGGGAGCTGGCGGGGCAGGGCCTGCTCATCCTCCTCTGCTTCCCTGTGCTCAGCACGGTCCCCTGCACACAGTAGGGGCTTTATAAGCACGTGCTGCTAAGAACCAAAATGTGAGACCTGGTCTGCCTTTTACATCCCAGGGACAGTGACCAAGCCATCCCTGGGCCTCAGTTTCCTGGTTTCTGAATTGGAACCCACCTGACCCTGCCAGAGGCTGGCTGTGAGAATCCAGTCGACGAGGATGCAGGTGAGACTGCCTGTGACCCTGGCTGCTCCTATGGCTCTGCCCCTCTATGAGGAGCTTCTTCCAAGCCCAAGATTCCATGACTTGGGTGTGCTCTGAAGGGGTCATCTGAGGAGCACTGGTCTGGACATGCCCACCTCTAGTTTCCGCTCAGCTATCAACTTGCTGTGTGTCTTGGGGCAAGAAGCCTTCCTTCTCTGGTCCTTGGTCTCTTTGCTTGTTAATTGGGGGAAGGAAGGCTGGGGGCTGCTGTCTTCAATGTCCTGGGTGCCCATATGAAGCCTGCTCCTGCCTGAGGGCAGGCAGATGGCTTCTGGAAACCCTTTCTAGAATTTCAGAAGCACCAAGGCCTCCTCTTCATCCTTCCACTTTTGCCAACTCTGCTTGTTCTGGCAGGGCTGGCTATCAAATTACCAGCAGGGGAATGAGGAGAAAGCTTCCTCCCCAGCTGTGGCTGCGAGGAAATGAGAGTCAAACAATGACTCTGCCGGCTCTCTCTGGAGCTCAGCCTCCCTGCTCCTGGCTATAGAGCCTCGCCGGCTCCAGGCTGGGTATCTAAGTAGTTTTGTAGACTGAGATCACGCAGATCCAGGAATGGGAGCATCAGAAAAGCACGGAGTAGACCTGCTCAGGAAAGGGGAACGGGCTGCTCTCCCATTTAGTTTCTGTGTGGATTTAGGCAAGTCTGAACCTCAGTTTTTCAGCTGTAAAACAGGGATAAAAATGACTGACTGGTGAGGGATCAATGGTAGAACCATGATTACAAGAGAGCCATGGGAAGGGCCCAGAACTAATTCTGGAGGCTCTGCCATGACATCTGGGGTGACGTGCCCCCTTTCCCTCACTGGTCCTGGGAACGGCTCAGAGCCCCACAACAGAGCTCTCAAGTCCCAGCAGTAGCCCAGGGGCTCATGAAATGTGGACTAGTGGTTGGTGGGAGATTCAAGTTCTGGAAGACTGATGGTGAAGCTGGCCGTACTGGAATTACAGGTAGCAAATCTGCCTCCTCTGGGAGAGTGGGTGAGCAGGCCCCCGGAGCAGAGCCTGGGCAGCCTGCAGGCCCACGCCCCACCCCAGGCTCCAGAGCACTGGAAAGAAAGCATTTCTAAGTAATTCTAGGCAGGAGGAAATCAATGAGACAAACAACAATAAGTGCAACAACTCCTTAGTCATCAACCAGCTTCCTTCACAGCTGAGAGGCAGTGCAAGGGTGCTGACAAGGCAGCACATTTCTTGGTATTTTCAGCCTCACAGTCTCATTTGACTCTCATAACTCTCCATGGGCCAGGAGGTAGACAGGCAGACACATCTAACAGGGAAGGGACAGGAAACACAGAGGTGAAGGGGCTCGCCTGAGCTCACATAGCCAGGTGGTGGTAAACTTGGGGCTAGGACCCAGATCCTTACTCCCCTCTGTGTTCCCTTCTTGGCTCAGAGCCCCGCAAGGCTGGAGCTCCAGGCGCTGAGCCCTGCAACCAGGCACTTATTTGAGGTGGGTCCATAAAAGGTCCTGTTCCAGAATCTGTCAAGATTTAAAGACATCTTAGAGAAAGAGAAATGAGAAGGTATCAGTTTGCAAAGTGTGGGATCAGTTCAGATGACAAAGGCCACACTACATGCCTCCCAGAAGTTATCTTGAAAAGCAGCCCAGCAGCCTTGTCCCAGGCCTCCCAGGTGGCCACAAGGTGTCCGTGCACCCTTTTGAAGGGACTCGGGACTCTGCTACTCCACACTGGTATGTGACAACCCTACAGGTGTGTATGTACGGTGTGTGGTCTGGGGACCCGGAGGCCCCTAAGTGAGGGTGCCAGGAACAGGCCAGGGACGGGAGACTGTGAGGATCAGCCCTGACCCTCCGGGGACACCAGCAGAAAACTGCAGAGGAGAGAGTGCCCCCTTCCTCTTCTCTGAGCTCCTCCTGGGCAGGCAGGCCATGCTAATGTGCTGAAAAGCCACTGGACAGGGAAGCAGGAGACCAGAGTTCCCATCCCGGCTGTGTGACCTGGGCAAGTATCTTCCCGCTCCGGCCCTGCTGAGCTCGCCTGCACAGGATGGGGTCCGCTGGGAGTGACGTGGGCAGCGCACCATGGGGTTGCTTTTCTAAGGTGGGGCCTGTGGGGGTTTCTAGCTGGGAGGTGGACAGGAAATGTGGTTCCCAAGTATGAGGACACTCAGGCTTCTGGAGCCTTCCTCTTCCGCAGCATCCTCGCTCCTTCCCAGTAATGAGTCCCGGGCTGGACACATCCTGTCACTTCCAGCAACTGCCTCCCCTGCCCCTCTCCAGCCCACCCCAAAGCATCTGCATCCAGAGACAAGTGTGGGCTGGGACTTCCCGGGTTCAGGTTCCCGGACGTCCCTGCTTCCGCTCTCCCACAAGACACCCAAGGCATCTCCAGATCCGGACAGAGGGGGCACACCCTCACCAAGGACCACACTTGGCCCAGCTTGGGCCTGGCGCCTGAGTGCTCCACCTGTGAAGTCTGAGGCCTGGGAGGGGCCTCTGGCAGAAGTGGCACACCAGGCCTCGGCCCAGAAGAGGCTCAGTGTAAATGTGATGATGATGCCCTGTTTTCCTGGTGAGACACAGCCTTGAACCTGGCATGAGGCTCAGTGAGTGGAATGTGGCTGGATTTCAGGCTTGACTCACCACCTCAGTCATGTGTGCGCCTCCTGGGCTATCCATGGACTATCCTGGCCATGGGATGCAGGAAGGCAAGAAGCACTGAATCTGTGCTGTGGCCAAACCCAGAGTTCTGAGAGCCCAGGCAAAAGGCCACAGAAGAGTGTTTGGTTCTGTGCACACACTTGTGTGAGTGCATGGAGGGGTGTGTGGAGGAGGGGTGTGATGAATATAGATAGTGGGGTTACATGTATATAGGTATACACTGAACTACCGAATTCTATGGCTGATTGTGAAGGATGGGGGGGTCTTCATACTAGAAACTTTCCTTATTTGGGGTGCCCCTGATATCTGAGGGTATCCAATCCCCATCCCCTATTTTCCTGGTCTCTGTGCAGTGCTGAGGTCAGCCTTGCCCCAGGCTGATGATGAAGGACTGGCAGCTCAGCTCTCAGCTCTTGTTTTTATCCCAGGCTACTTTGCTAGCAGCTGCATTTATAATCTAGGCTCAGGAGGACAGAGATCAAACTGGTCTGCAGAGACACACACTGGGCTATCACTTCTCCCAGAAGTGGGGTGAGACCTGGTGGTAGTCAGCATGGGGTGGGAAGGGGATAGGAAGGGCAGGCAGGAAAACTGAGCCCCCAGTTTACTGTAGAGCAGCCACTGAGGTCCAAAGAAAAAGTCAAGAGAAAAGGTAGAGGAATAGGAAAAGAATGGAATGGAACAGAAGCTGAGGAAGGCAGGCATCTCTAGAAGCAGGGCTGCCATGTACAGTTGCACAGGCAGTGCACTGCACAACTGCAAGGAAGGCCATTGTATTGATAGATTGCCCTGGTGCTGTTTAATAGGGCAGCCCTGGGTGTCAGATAAAGATGAAAGAAAGGAGCTCACTGTGATCCAGTTCCAGAGCTGATGTTCAAGTTTCCATTACTGTTTGTGGACATCATGAGGTCAAGTGATGGGTATCGTTACCCTTTGTTACTCACAGGGACATGATGACTCAGGGGAAAATGTGACCTACTGAGACCCACAGGTTCTAAAACCCAATGCTCCGAACTCCCAGTCCAGTGCCCTTGGAAACCCAAAGGCTGGAATCCTCTCTGGACCCCCAATCAGGCTGCACTTACAGGAATGTAGCCACCCAACCCTTGGGGAGTTCACGGGGAGAACTTTGTCTGCTGTCTTCCTGGAGAAGACACAGGCTGTCTGTGTAAATTCCCTTTAGGCCTAAACTCAGGATGAGCCTAGAGGAAGCCTTAATGATGGGAGCGACTGGTCAGGAGGAAGGGAATAATTAGGGAAACAAATAGAAGCAAGGCAGCTGCCCAAGCTGCTCCCTGCACCCCACTATGGGGCCCTGAACAGAGTGCTTTGAAAAGGCGGGTAGACCAGAGGGAGGGAGTGAGACACCCCTCCCTCCGCCCCCTCTGCCCTGGGGCTGTGGGTTCTATGCCTGCCTCGCCCCTGCACCGCTATATATGCACCTCACCCCAGGCACATGTGGTAGGAAGGCGGGCCGTCACCGAAGGTCAGTTCTCTGTCACCCACAGAACTCTTGCCTGTGCAAAGCCTTCCCTTCCCAGAAGCTGCCTTCTGAGTGCTGGTTTGGCTCCTGCCCAGCTCCCACCTCCAGGACTGGGGTGGGCATGGCTTCATCAGTTTTTCTTACCAGAAATACAGCATCAGCACAGAAGGGGTAGGGGCCGCCTGGGGCACGCAGCCTGGTGTAGCTGGAGAGGCCGGGAGCACAGTCAGGAGCTTTAAGACTTTTGCACTATCCATCTAGTGTTTTAGAGTTAGGAAAAACCCAATGATGCTGGTGGTGGTGATAACTGGTAAGAAATCATGTTTACCGCGCATTTGCTACGTGCCAGACAGGAGGTTTTTTTACTTGTGTTATTTCTTTTAATCCTCAAACAACCCTAGAAAGTAGATAGAATTATGTCCCCTACTCTACAGATGAGGCAGCTGAAGGAAAGAAACCTGCCAGGTCACCCTGCTAGGAAGTGTTAGAGGCAGGCTCAGAACACTGGTGGTCTGGCTCCTGAGTTCAGGTTCCTGACCCCCCATGTCAGTGACCTCCCTCAATGAGCAGTCACCCACATCTGCTGGAATGAGCAGTTTTCAAGTGCTCTCATGTACCCAGCTCCCTGCTCTCACACCTCAAAGCACACTGTCATCCTCACGCTATTAGCTGAAGTCCTCAGCCTGCACTTGCCTCCCCTGCAGAGCTGCCAGCTCCCGGGGCAGGGACAGCAGGACCTTCAGAACAAGCCAAGGTCTGGCCCAGGAAGAAACGCAATGAGGTGAGTAAGGCTAACGCTGATATGTCCATTTCACAGATGAGAAGCCTGAGGCCAGTTGCTCCTGAGTGACAATGGACCTGAACTCTGGTGGTAGCCTAGGACCACCCCACATAGCACATGAGGCAGCACTGACTCATCAGGAGACAGCAAGGCCCCAGGAACCTCTATCCTGGTATAGAAGCCAGAGAACATTCTGGAAAAAACACAACACAGAGCCAGGGCCAAGCCTACCAGGTGCCTCACTTACCTCTGCTGATCCTCTGCTTCTCCCCGGAGAGGATGCCTGGTGTGTCAATGACGCTGATGCTTTCTAGCACAGGGTTGGGCAGCTGGGCACACACAAACCTGCACGGGTGGGAAGAGACCCGTGGTGAGCCGCTATTCTGCCCTTGCCTCTCAGGCACCCTTGTTTTGGTCCCATACCAACCTCTCCTGCCCTGGGCAGAGGTTCCGATGCTCAGCCACCTTTCCATGCAGACTCCCAGCCTCAAGTTAGAGCAGCCGCCACAGTGGACCCAGGATCTGTACTTGGAGGAAGCTCCTGGGGGCATTCTAAGGGGCCTATGTCTGTGGCCCCTGCTGGTAGGGACACCAGGATGTCCAGCCCTCGATCCCTGTCCCCCCCCAGGAGCACAGTCTGGTAGAATAGTGGGGGTGTGCACAAGGACAACCATGATATGGGTGCCATGGGACCAGCACCCCCAAGAGGTCATGTGAAGGACTCAGGAGATCCAAGGTGGAAGGAAGACTTCCTGGAGGAGGAGACACTACAACTGAACTTGAAGAATGGGCCATACCACGCAGGAATGCTTAGGTGGGCTTTTAGGAGGCTGTCTAAATACCAAACATTGCTATTAGGATAGCGTATGTGCATGCTAAGTCGCTTCAGTCGTGTTTGACTCTGTGTGGCCCAATGGACTGTAGTCCACCAGGTTCCTCTATCCATGGGATTTCCCAGGCAAGAATACTGGAGTAGGTTGCCATTTCCTTCTCAAGCCTTAATCAAGAAAGCATTTCCAGTGTTATATCCCAAAGTCTCCAAATAAAAACTGGTAAACCTAAGCCAGATCCTTCTCACTTCAAGCCTTCTCTCTTAAATGCCATTTTTGGTCGAAGTCAACAAGGTGTCTGACCATCAGTTCCAGTTCACGGTCCCACAGTCTTGGGAACAGACAGGTAAAGGAGCCTCTGCTCTCCAGTGAGGTGGCTGCAGAGATGCAGGTCAGGTGAGGAGGGGGATGCATGGGAAAGAGAGTCCGGGAAGCCTCACAGGGGAGACAAAACCTGAAGTGAGACCTCAAAAGGTGACCAGCTTTGCTGGGAGGACAGGGGTGCAGGCAGGAAGCCAGGGTGTGCATGTGTGTGTGTGTGTATGTGTATGCGTGTAGCTAGGTGAAGATACAGACATGCACAAAGTGGAGATGGCCATGTAAAGATGGACTCAGAGATTGGAATTATTCTGATACAAACAAAATACCTGGAGTAACCAGAAGCTGGAAGAAGCAAGGAAAGACTCTCCTCTATGGGCTTCAGAGGGGGCATGACCCTGCCAACACCTTGATTTTGAACTTCTAGCCTCCAGAACTATGAGTCAATGTTTATTTTAAAGCCACCTAGCTCATGATAATTTGTTCTGGCAGTCCTAGGAAACTAATAGAAGCATGTGGAGATGCCACATGGAAATTAGAGGGGGGAGGGGAGCATGTGTGTGTGTGTGCGTACTTGTGTGTGTGTGTCTGTGTGTGTGTGTGTGTAGGCACCAGGCCAGGGGACACTATCACTGAGATGAGAACCAGAGGCTGGAGCAGCTAGAGACGTGGCCAGACAGGGAGGTAGGGGCCAGATTATGAGGGCCTTGAAAGCCACATTAAGAAATGTGGATTTTATAATAAGGGTGGCAAAAATCCATTGGAACTTTTTAAGCAAAAGAGTGATACAATCTGATATGGTGGTTGTCAGCTTTTCCAGATCAGTTTGGTAAATACTTACAAAGCATGTGCTGTTTTCTGGCACTGTGCTAGATAGTCCATGGTGTGGCCCCTGTCCCATTAGAGCCCATGGTTTCTTCTATGTCTTGGGCCCAGTCAGATTCTTGTCCATAGGTTCTAAGGCACACTCCAGCATTCCTCAATAAATTCCACATTTTGCTGAAACCAGTTTGAGTAGGGCTGCTGTCCCTTGGTGACCAGGAGGTCAGGCACATGGGGCTGGTGTTTGGGGCCAGGGCTCTGGTTGAGCATCACCCAGGCCAGGAGCATGGAGTGAGACGGGCAGGGGGCTGAGGAGGACACCAGGTCATAGGGGCCAGAGCAAAACGGGGCCAGGGGAGACTGCAGAGGATCTGCCAGGGAGATAGGAGGAGGCCAAGGAGCTGAGAGGGGATGGTGGTTGAGAGATGGGGTGGGGTGAGGACCGAAAGTGCTCACGGCTTATCACATAGAGGTCACGGACAATGTTCACATGGGCAGCTGTGATGGGGAAGCCGTGTTCCACAGGGTGGGGGACAGGGATGAGTGAGGAGGTGAAGCCCAGAAACTTGGCTGTGGAAGGAAAGTGAGGGGGTAAGAGCTAGTAGGGCCTGCTGCAGGGTTCTCAGGAAGATAGTTCCCTGTAATAAAGGAGCCAAGGGAAGGTGGAGCTGTCAGGAAGAGGAGTAACTGACAGAGCCGTTCCTGGCTGGGGGGTGCGGAAGCGGCAGACCTGAGGGTAAAAGAGGCTGCAGTTCTCTGGGCTGCATGGAGGAGGAGGACCGATGCAAACAGGCTCCACTTATGGACAGATTGGAACCAAACCAACTGCAGGAAACCCATGGATACGGGCTTCCATCTTCTCTAGAATGGGAAGCAAGGTCATCCACTGCAAGAGGAGGCTGAGGTGCCTGGAAAAGGCTTGGGACACCCCCAGAGAAGGGGAAGGGAGATGTCAGGGGAGAAATAGGACCCCTGGGCAGTACAAGGATGAGAAGCAGGCACCCGGGGTGTAGCCATCCTGTACGTGGCTGCAGTGAAGCTGGTGGTACATGGAAGGGCCTCCCCAACTCCCTGCCCTGCCCTGCCCCTTGTTTTTCCTCCCAGGGGACGTGCCTGGCTGGTCCCCAGCCAACAGTTCATGTATACATCTGTCACTCAGCTGTGGCGGCTCCAGCAGAGAAGTCACAGTGTTCCTGAATTAATCCACGTTCTTTGAATTCTCTCTGCTTATATATATACACACACATATATATACACATTTTTTTTTTCAGTTTTCTCTGCCTGAAATGTCCTTTTTTTAACCCTTTGCATGTGACTTCACTCATCATTGAATATCTGTGTCAAATGCCAACTTTCTCACAAAGTCCTCTTGCCTTGGAGGAGGACATTTACTCTTATCCTATTTTACAGATGGGAAAAGTGAGACACAGACCAGTTAGGTTATCTAAGAGCATGGTGCTATTAGATGGGTTCTTAACCCAAGCCCATAGTCTTTACCTTTACTCTAAATGCCTTCAATTATAGAAAGTAGCTTAAAAATTTTTTAAATGCGATATGCATGCAAAATTGTGGTGTGGATCTACATTATCAGTCTGATCAGGGGATCAACCTGCACTCTAGTTAAGCAGAGTAACGGGCAGGCCCGGGTCAGCTTGTGGAGCAGCCACTAGAGCTTCTTCCACTCAAATTGACCCAGTGACCCTGGTGTTTACAGGCTGACTTGTCTCAGGGGAGGGAACTTGTCCAAGGTCACACAGTGAGTTTAGTAGGAGGGACAGTGATCAAAGCCAGGGCTTCCACCTTAAGTGCAGGGTCCCTGCCACCAAGTAAAAACAATGTTCAAAACAGGTCCTCTGCCTCCTTCTAGCTGGCTGAAAAGCCCTTCCATAGGATAGGCAAAAGCTGGGAACTACAGAGGGCAGCCCTCTCTTCTTTTCCTGGAGGGAGGTGCGGATTAGAGATGGGATTTAACTAGTTGGATCCCTCCCCCAACTTGATCAGGAGAAATCATGCCAGTGTTAGCAGCTTCCATATCCCTAGTCAATGGGGGTTTCATTCCCACTAAGAAAGGGACAATCAAGAGAGATTCCAGGTCTGGAAAAGATACACGGTCTCCCAAGACCTTGCCCTGCCCTTTCATACTCCAAGGAGAAAAGAGAGCACCCAGGATACGTGCGTTCCCTCTGTACCCACCTGTTCAAGAAGGCATTGCCAAAGGCATTCAGTTTCCGAAAAGGTTTCTTAGGATCCACCACCAGGGCGTTCCCGGGGATGATGCCCTCCACCTCGCCGTGCATCACCGAAATGAAGGAGTCAGTGGTTGGCTCCGGCCCAATCCTCATGCCCGGGAAATCCTGTTCCAGGAGATACCTGGTGGAAGCGAGAACAGTCATAATGCAGGGATGCTGTGGGCAGATCAACACCTCCTGCCCACAGCAAGGCAGATGCTGGGGTGAGTCATGGTGGAGGGGCAATCAAGGAAATTTCATGGCAGGGAGAGATTTTCACGGATGCAGAATCCGAAGACCTTAGGGAGGAAGTGGGATTTCAGTTGAACTTAAAATATCAAATCTGTCCTTGGTCCTTTTCTTTTCACCTCCGTGACTTGGAGGGGTGGGTGGGATAAGCAAGCCTGAGCATTGAGAGCCTGAGGCTAACGCCCCTCTCCACAGCCCCCTCTGGAGCCCACAGTGAGCCAGAGAATGAAGAGAATAAGCTGGAAGGAAAACCAGACTCTTTGGCAGGAGCTCAGAACAGCTTTGAGCCCAAATTGCTTAAGGCTGGACTGCAGGCAGGGGAGTCCAGTGCTGCCCTGGGTTGGGACTGGCCAGAGAAGAGTACCAGGGGCCATGACGGACAAGAAGCTAAGGGGTGGGTTGCCCAACAAACAGAGACCCTTGAGTGAGCCCTCAGCGTGTGCCAAGACCCTCCCCCTAAACCTTAAGGGGCCATGTTCACGCCTGGAGGGAAAAGTCAAGGAGCCCTTAGGAGAAGAGATGGCAAGTCAGAGACTGCTGGCTGGGAAGGGAGCCTGGGAACTCCTGGGCCCGCGGGCCTCAGCCACTGCATGTGGGTCCAGCCCAGGGGTTCTGACCCGCTGGTCCAGGATGGGGCCCCGACCACTGGTCTTTTTCAGGAACTCCCTAGTTGATTCTAGCTGCAGCCGGGGTTGACAACCTGCTCTGGACACTGTCATTATGCTGATAGCACCACTGACAATAGCAGACATCATCCTCATCACTTCAAGAATGTAGCTCCTTCTGGCAGCCCTAGTATGTGCAGTTGGGGGCCTCTGTATCCGAGCCTTCCACATCTGAGAACACAACCAACCGTGGAGAACCCGGGTTGAATTCTGTGGTTGGTCGGAGCCATTGAATGTGGAGCCCATGGATCCGGAGGGTCTATTGTACTGTGCCATTTTATACTTGAAGGGGCTTCAGCATCTGCAAGGGAGGTGGGGTCCCGAAACCAGCGCTCCATGGACACCAAGGAATGAGGGACAGCTGTATTGAGGAACCCAAGGCTTTGAAGGGTTATGGGGTTTCCTCCACGTTAAAGAGTTAATAGCGGAGCAGGAACCCAAACCCTTATCAGTCTAACACCAAATCCTTTGCTCTTCAACTGTCTCTACCCTAAGGAAATGCTCTTTGCCAGCCGCCCCCCACCCCGTGCCCACCCTCTGCCCAGCAGGCGGCAGCCTGGGAAACTGGCTGGGGTTTCTTCCAGCTCATGGTCATCTCATTGTGTTCTTAGCTGTTAGTTTACTCCGTGCTTCCAGGGCAGTTCAGTTGCCACGGGGCTCGCTCCCCAAGGAGCTAGCAGGCGAGCTGCCACAGAGGAGATGCTGCCCAGGGGCCACCCACCTACACCGGCAGTTTTAGGTTGGTGAAGCCCCCCATCTCCCTCCAACATCTGGGTGTGAAGACAGGATTTCCTCCCATCAGAGGCCCATTCTGAAAGCTGGGTTGTGATGAGAGTGTATCACCCCAGCAGCCCATGGACAGGGTTTCCTCTTTCTCAAGCACACCTTCTCCTTCAGAGCCTCAGGGGAGAGGCAGGGAGCCTCAGGGCCTGGGACCAGCAGACCTGGATTCTCTAACCTTCAGAAGGTTCTTGACCTCTGCAAACCTTGGCACTTTCCTCTATAAAATGGGAGGTCATTGTTCTGATTTATTAAGCACTTGTGCCAGACAGCGTTCCAGACTGTCTATGGATTATCTCGTTTCATCTCACATTTCCTCTGATGTGAGCACTATAATCCTTACATCAAATGGGCCTCAGAGGTAAATCCATCTCACTGGGTGTTCTGAGGGTTAAATTAGTTATAGACCGTAAGTGCGTAAACCAGTACCTAGCACCTAGATCACCATCCCAAAGATCAAACTATTTGTTGCAGGATCAGACGGTAAACAATCTGCAATGCAGGAGAACCCAGGTTTGATTTCTGGGTCAGGAAGATCCCCTGGAGAAGGGAATGGCAACCCACTCCAGTATACTTGCCTAGAGAATCCCATGGACAGAGGAGCCTGGTGGGCTCCATGGGGTGGAACAAAGGGTGATGCTCCCTAGCATAGCCAGGGCTGCTTCCTGGGATGTTTCCAGAGCCTCAAGTGGCCCAGCAAGAGCCCTTCGGCTAAAACCACATGACCCTGGATTTGCTGACCTCACATGGGTCTGGAGAAACACAGAGTTCAGTGAATCCCAAAGCAAATCCAGGGATGCAGTCAAGCCAAGCAGAGAACCCAGGGCTGGGTAAATTCTCAGGGACATTTGGGTATGACCTGCAGCCCCGAGGGCCCCCTTAACAAAGCCAGCATTGTGTCCAGAAAGGAAAACCTATTGAGGGCTCTCATGGCTGCTTTCTCTATGGGGAGAGATACAGATCGCCTCTGTTGCCAGGCAAAGACATTCCCACAGCAGGGTAAAAAAAGAAAAGTTAATTCAGGCCCGGGAGGGAGCAGCGGAAACGGGGAAGCAGGAGAACAAGGAGAGGCTGGCGGGCAGAGCACCCACTGGGAGCCAGGTGCTCCTCTGTGCCCCTTCCCTGAATGATTCCACTCAGTCGGTTCGAGAAGTGCTGCAGGATGGCTGAATTATTTCAGTTTTGCAGGGGAGCAAATGGAGATGGAGACTGCCCCCATTCAGGGCCAAATACAAATATTTAGAGGACCAAAGAGCAGAGAAGGTTTTCCAATGTAAAAGAAATAAAATGGATATAAGGAAGGCAAATGCAATTCTGGTTTTTCCCATGAGGACTATTTTTCCTAAGCAAACTGTTTCTTAACATCATCTCCCTCATTTTTCAGTGTCCTGCTTGGCTGGCAATCTAAGCATGTGGCTTGTTTTACTGGCACCTGAGCACTCAGGGTGAGGCGTAGCCAAGAATCCACCTAGTGTGCTTCTGGGGCCCCTGCCTCTGCAACAGTGGGGCCAACCCTCCCGCTGTTGGGACAGCACCCAGGGTGGGGAACAGAGGGACGGGGGCCACCAGCCATGTTGTCCGAGGCCGTGGCTGAGCTGGACCCGATGCCTCAGGTCAGTTAGGGAATGCGCCTTGATGGGTGGCTGCTTCACTGCAGATGTGACCTTGGACAAGTCCCTCCAGAGCCCACTGCCTCAGTTTCTCCAGTTTTTATAAAGTGGGGCTAATCCTGGGTTTCTTACTAGCTCAGGGGGGCAGAGTGAAGGTTTTGCAAAGACACACATGAGTTTTGGAAAAGCAGTGGCTACACCAGACATTGGCTCACATCAGCACAGATAATAATTAGAGAAAACACATGTCTATAAGTACCCAGTGCATTTCTACCTGGACGGACTCCAAACCCAGGGTCCTCGCACCTCCATGAAAATACACATAGCTCTTAATTTGCATATCTTGAGGTTGACACTAAAGGCACGCATCACTTTCTGCCTTGTGTTACAGGTATTTGTGTTAGGTTAGTTAGTGTTAGTTGCTCAGTTGTGTCCAACTCTTTTTGACTCCATGGACTGTAGTCCACCAGGCTCCTCTGTCTATGGAATTCTCCAGGCAAGAATATTGAAGTGGGTTGCCATTCCCTTCTCCAGGGGATCTTTCCGACCCAGGGATCAAGCCCAGATCTCCTGCATTACAGGCAGATTCTTTATTGTCTGAGCCACCAGGGAACCCTATCTGCATTATATATCTGTATCTTTGGTCTCTCTAAACCTTTTGTACTTCAGCTTTAAACTGGGGTTAAGACAATACTACTTGTCTGGGTGGCCTCACAAGGTTTCAGGGAGACTGTAAATCACCCCAAAGACACAAAGTGAGGTAAGAGATGGGGGACTCAATGGCCGAGTTGAGGTTTGAGTCAGCTCTTTGCTTCATGGAGCAGTCACCATTGTCCCTGGTACACAGCAACCTCTACATGGAGACAAAGTGACCCAAGCACAAAGGAGACTAGTAGGCAGACCAGTAGCCAGACCTCCTACTAGCCTTGGCTTGCCTAACTGCCCCTGATACAGGCTGGCCTAAATAACCCTATGAGGTGGTTGCATTATTCACATGTTAGTGATAAAGACACTGAGGTTCAGAAAGCTTAGACCCTTCCTAACAAGGTCTCCTGGCTGGAACGGGTGGAGCTTAGGTTCTGCTGAGCTTCCCATGTTCTTCCTGTGGCTGCATTCTCCTGTCAGTGGGAGTGGGATGAGCCCTTCCCCAGAGGTCCTTCTCCCAGTCCTGTTTCTCCTGATGGCCTCCACACCTAACTCTCAGTTCAGTTCCATTCAGTCACGCAGTCGTGTCCGACTCTTTGTGACCCCATGGACTGCAGCATACCAGGTTTCCCTGTCCTTCACAACACCTGGAGCTCACTCGAACTCACGTCCATCGAGTTGGTGATGCCATCCAACCATCTCATCCTCTGTCATCCCCTTCTCCTCCTGCCTTCAATCTTTCCCAGTATCAGGGTCTTTTCCAATGAGTCAGTTCTTCACATCAGGTGGCCAAAGTATTGGAGTTTCAGCTTCAGCATCAGTCCTTCCAATGAATATTCAGGACTGATTTCCTTTAGGATTGACTGGTTTGACCTCCATGCAGTCCAAGGGACTCTCAAGAGTCTTCTCCAACACTACAGTTCAAAAGCATCAATTCTTCGGCACTCAGCTTTCTTTATAGTCCAACTCTCACATTTATACATGACTACTGGAAAAACCATTGCTTTGACTAGATGGATTTTTGTTGGCAAAGTGATGTCTCTGCTTTTTAATATGCTATCTAGGTTGGTCATAGCTTTCTTCTAAGGAGAAAGCATCTTTTAATTTCATGCCGGCAGTCACCACCTGCGGTGATTTTGGAGCCCAAGAAAATAAAGCCTGTCACTATTTCCATTGTTTCCCCATCTATTTGCCATGAAGTGATGGGACCTGATGCCATGATCTTTGTTTTTTGAATGTTGAGTTTTAAGCCAACTTTTTCACTCTCCTCTATCACTTTCATCAAAAGGCTCTTTAGTTCCTCTTCACTTTCTGCCATAGGGGTGGTGTCATCTGCATATCTGAGGTTATTGGTATTTCTCCTGGCAATCTTGGTTCCAGCTTGTGCCTGACTCTCAAGACAGATCTTAAGCCAGACATCAGGAGGTAGACCAATGCTCTGCCCTCTGCTCCTCTGAGTAACACTCAGGCCTTGTAAGAGGTAGGCAGATGTTGACCTAGTCCCACTTAGGGACTAGCAGATCAGAGCCCTGACAGGAAAAGGATGTCCATGGACCTCAGACGGGTGACAAGAGTGAGGAGCTGCTGGGGCTGTGGCTAGCAGGATGGCCTGGCAGAAGACAGTGGGTCTACTGGAATGGAAAGGGGCCCCTTCACTAGCCCTTCAGCTTATTAGAGAATCATCCTTTCTGGGGATGCTGCTGCTATGAGGCCTGGGCAGCAGAGATGCCAGAGAGGTGACGAGAGAGGGTACAACCACAGGCAAATGCTGAGTCACCTTTACAGGAGGATGCCAAGAGACCCCTGAAAAGGGGGAGGCTGAGAGGACCAGCTGAGTAGCCACCCGGCCCCCTCCCCACCATGTGCCCGTTCGTACTGTAGAGGCTCAGTCATGCTATAGAAGGGCTGGGAGATGCCCAAGACCAGCTGAGCTCTCCCTATGGAGACCCAGGCCACTCAGCTCCAGCAGCTGCAAGCCCCACACCCAGAGCCCAGGCCCTCTACTACAGTGTGGCCACAGGCCAGCGAGGCTCTGTTTGAGGCCTTGCGATCCTGAGTCTTATAGCCCCTGGGGCAGCCAGCCATTCATCTCTGTGACCAGGGGGCCAAACGGTGCAAAGGAGGAGGGACTTGAGGTTGCAGACCAGAGTGAGGAAGAATGAAGAGAGAAAAACAGCAGAGGCGGGAGGAGAGGCTGCCAGGCCAGAAGGACACAGAGCTACTGTACTAGGAAGAGGCAGCCTGTGTTGGAGGAAGCAGCCACCCGGCCAATTTATTGTTTATTTTATTACCCTGGGTTGCTGGGCCTGAGGCCAGTGAAGTTATTTCAGGCAGAGATCATAGCACATTAATTAGTTATTAGAAGAATGTCCTTTTCTGCATGTTCTTCCTGAGACAAGAAATAGACCCCAAGGCAAGGAAATGTAACTGAAAGGAGATGGACACTAGGAGACAGAAGGCCAAGGGCCAGGGGATGAAGAGGCAAGTCTTTATTTCCAAGGGAAGGGTCCCTCTCAGGTTCAGGCTGGAATACAAGATGTGAATGGCCATACCCAAGGCAAGAAGCGGGGATGGGAGAGGGTGCAGCTGTGAAGGCAGGCTGGATTCCGCACCCAGGTGCTCCTAGTCACCTCAAGTGGAACCTTCTCTGTTTTGGGGAAGGGTTGTGGTATCAACTGACTCTTTTGAAAAGCAACTCAAAAATGTGACTCTTACTACCAAGATTACAAAGTCAGAAAAAGTTAAAAAAAAAAAAAAACACACAAACCAAAACTCTGTATAACCTTTGGCCTAGTGATTTCACTTCTGGGAATCTCTGAGAAAACAGCCTAATCCGTGGAAAAGTATTATGCACAGAGATAGTCAGATTGGTCCTACAATAATAGCACAAAATAAAATTAGAAACAACTTCAAATATTCAAAAGAAGTAGATTGGTTAAATGAATAACTGCATATACATACAGTAAAATATCATGCAGCTTTAAAACTAATGCTTACAGAGATTTAAAATTTTACTTGGGAAATGTTCATGCTATAAGTGAAATAAATCCACATACAAAATTACATTATGGCATGACCTCAACTGTGTTATAAAATAGCTAAAAATACTGGAAAGACATAATATGTATTATATACACATATACATATATTATATACATATGTTATATATTTGTGCTGCTGCTGCTGCTGCTAAGTCCCTTCAATTGTATCTGATTCTGCGACCCCATGGACTGTAGCCCACCAGGCTCCTCTGTCCATGGGGATATCCCAGGCAAGAATACTGGAGTGGGTTGCTAGGTCCTCCTCCAGGGGATCTTCCCCACCCAGGGATTGAACCCAAGTCTCTTATGTCTCCTGCACTGGCAGGGCAATGGACATGAGTTTGAGTAAGCTCTGGGAGTTGGTGATGGACAGGGAAGCCAGGCGTGCTGCAGTTCATGGGGTCGCAAAGAGTTGGACACGACTGAGTGACTGAACTGAACTATATATAAAATATTTAAGATGGTTTCCCCTGAGTTGTAGGATGATGATGGGGCATTTTTTCATCTTCCTCAAATTTACTCTTGTCTGCATTTTCCAATTTTTAAAAAAACTTACTGTTCAGTGGATTTAATGAGAAGAAAGGAAAATATGTAATTTGGTTTTGGAGGCCTTCCCTGTCCTGCCACCCCTCCGCCCCTGCTGGGATCCTCTCTCTCAAAGGGAGACAGCTTTTGATGCACGAGCTAAATTCGGTCACTGACATGAGTGGGGAGGGAGAGCGCTTGTACTCAGAGGATAAGAAACTGGAGGGCTCTGCCTCTCTCAGCCTTCCTGTCTCCCTCAGATAAGCAGTAATCTATAGCAATTCGGCTTTGCCACTTTCTTAGACCCAGTTAACAGCCAGCATGACTCAGGCAAAGCAGGAGAGTATCTCAGACAAGAGGCACTTAAACACGTCTGCTGTTCCGGGATCCTGCCCCCGGGGATGTTGGCTTCTCCCCACCTCCCCTCCCATTCTGCAAATGTCTACTGGGGGCTCCTGTAGCAGAGACCCCCGCGCAAGGCCCCGGGGGGGGGCTAGGCAGTAAGTGCTGGTGCCACAGGAAGGAGGAGTTCTAAACAACCTACTAGGAATTATAACCAAGGTGTGTCCAGAGGGCTGGGGATGGGCAGGAGCCATCTGTAAATGGCCTGTGCTTCCCATGGGGCCAGGTGGAAGATGCATATTACAAAGGAAACCTTGCGCAGAACCAGGAGGCTCTGAAGTGCCTTTGGCAGCAACAGGCGTTTAACAAAAAAAGGGAGATGCATTAGATAGGGGGTTCTTGCCCTAATGTCCAAGGCTTGGACTCCTAAAATTATATGTAAATTTTGGATGTAGGTGCATTTTTGTAAAGATTGGATCCATAGACCTTTTGAAAAGTTAAGAAGCAATGAATTAGATTCTTTGCAAGGGTCCTTGCAGCTCTAACAATATAAGACCTCCAAAAGCCAACAATCCCCCTGGGTACCTAACTTCAGAAATCACTCAGCCTCTCAAGCTGAGTGAGTCCAAGGCTGTCCACCCCACAAGGAAAAACTCAGCTGATGTCCCGTTCAGACATGCCATGTTAATATAGTGTGTGCCCTGCTCCCAGAAGGCTTATGTTAAAAGCTTAGCACTAGGGAAAATTTGAATCTAGAAAATCAGGAACTAGACTGTGAACTTTTCTGCTCTCCACCAAACAAAGCACAGTGCTTTGCATGTTGCAGGTTAATGAATGGAAACAAGAGCATCCCTGCTTTGAAACCTTCCATAGGAGATAAGCACCATTGACTCTGCGGGGGCAGGGGGGAGCTGAACCCATCACCACTTTCTATGAGCCTGACTCTCAACACAGAGGGCCACTCAACACAGAGCACCCTCAACAGCTTTCAGGCCTGTGAATGTGTGAATGAGGCCAAGGAAGATGGCCTGGCCTTGAAGGCTATGTGGCCTGAGGGCTGGAGAGAAGCCTGTCTTCTAACGATATGAAAGGTCCTTATCGTTCTGGTGGACAATAAGTGGATTTCTTTTGAAGGCCAGGTGGACAGCTGACTTCCTGAGGATCCCCACAGCCCGAGGATTCTGTAATTCAAGGGGATGGATGACTCACCCTCAAAGTTACAGGCATTGAGCCAACCATCTCCTCCCATGCATCTAGGACCGCATCCCAGGTCAACCTCCCATCCTGTTATATGGCTTTGGACAATTCATTTAACCTCTCTATGCCTCAGTTATCTTGCCTGCCAAGTCAAGGAGCTGGATGAGACAGTGGCCAATATTCTGTCCACCTCCAAAAGACTTTAATATGATTACTGAGCCACGAAGATCAACAGGAAACAAAATAGCATTCTGCCTCTAGACACTGCTTGTCTCCAGTCTCTAAGAGATATTTGTAAGGAGCTCTGATTGGAAAAGGAAACCGATGAAAGAAGGACAAGCAGGCTCCCTGGCCCACCTCCTCAGCTGCAACTGTAAAGCCCCCATGTGAGTGACTGAAGCTTTCAGAAGGCAAGGAAAGTGGTCCTGACCATCAAGTGCATGTCCCTACAAGGAGAGGGTGTCAGACACCCCCACCAGCCTAACGTATTCTTGTGACCAGGATACCTCTCACTTGTGCCTCCTGGGTTTCAGTTTCACCATCCATAAAATGGGCAGCATAGGGATGGCTCTGAACTTTACACTTCATGGGCTGAGTGCAGTGGAGAGGTGCTAGGTAGGATGGAGCAAGGGACCATCCAATGAAATTATAGGGTAAGCTTTGGACAACCCCCACACAAGGATTTCTTCAGAGATTTCAAGGGAAGACTTATCTCTTGTCCCCAGGCAGGCGGGACATCGGGAGTGAGCAGAGGGTCTAACGCTGGGGAGCTGGGTGGGCTGCTGGGGGACCCTGGCTGGCTCACCTGATGAAGGTGGTCTTCCCTGTGGAGTACTGGCCCACCAGCAGCACCATGGGCTTGTTGTCGAAATCGGCGTCCTCCAGGGCGGGAGAGTGAAACTCGTGGAAGCGATAGTGCTCTTCCAGGGGCAGCAGCTTTGTCCTGTAGAGTTTCTTGAGCCCATCGCTCACGGTCTGGAAGACCTCGGGGTCCTTCCTCCGGCGGTCGTCGGAGCGCAGCCAGCTGAACATCGCGGCCACCGCTCGCCTGCTCGCCCCCGGTGCACAGTCCCAGCAGGAGGGCGTGGAGTCGGCGATCCCGGGTTCTCGGGGAAGGTGTCCCGCAGGGCGGGCCCGCCGTGCTCCCAACCGCGCCGCCGCCTCACCTGAGCGCCGGGCTCAGCCGCACCATGGCCAGGACGCAGGGCTCGGGGGTCCCCGGGGCGACGGCGTAGGGCCGCGAACGCGCTCTTCCCCTGCTCCTGGGACCAAGCCCAGCCCCGGCTTCATTCAGCAATCAAGGCCGAAGAGAGGAAAAATATCTGAGTTGGGCGGGAGAGCTGCGATCTTGGGGAAAAAGTCAAACCTGCAATTAAAATGTCAGATGCCGGGTCCCCCGGTCTCCCCCAGCTCTCTCCCACTTTGGCTCCGGTGCAGTTAAGGGATGCTTCAGAATCTGCTCCCGTCCGCCCCGGAGGCTCAGAGGAGGCGGCGGCGCTGCCCAGCCCGCGGACAGCTCAGCATCTGCAGCCGCAGCCCGCAGCCCCAGGCGCGGGTTTAAATGCCAGCCGTGCAGGAAGCCGGCTCGCGGAGGAAGTCCCCGAGTACTGGCAAAGCTGGCGCGGCCCTGCGGCCCCGGCGGGGAGAAGCTGAGCAGGGCGCCGCCATGTTTGTGGGCAGTGGCCCCACTGGGGACCCGCGACCGCTCGCTGCATGGGAAGGGAGGGATGCATGCTCGGTGGGAACGCTCTGGTATTTCATTCCCGGCCTCTGGAGGTTTGATTTGGGAACAGCGCCCTCTCAGGGACAGCTGCGAAGACAGAGTTGACCTGCTTCACACTCTCCCTGCTCTTAAATATAGGCTTTCCTTCATCAGTTCCTTAGGATGACAGGTTCTCTATTGTTAGGTAATATTTTTCTTGGCGCATGGAAAGAAGAGTCCAATATTAGCTTACTCCAAATGACCAGCACTCTCACTACCCAAACTTTTTGCTAGGTCTAGGTGAAGTCAAACTATTCTCATTTATTCATTTGTTCATTCCTTCCAATAAAATCAAACAAAATAAGCAAAACGTCCACAAGTATTAAGCCAGTATTATGGCACAATTTTGGTGACTGTGGTTACAAACTTGATCACCAAAATAAGCACTAGGGTCTCTCTCTTCCAGGAACTCCAGCCAGGCTGGGTTTAAAGAGGAGATAGGAACAGAAGGCCTGGGTGCATAGCAGGAGGAGGCATCCTTTTTGTCTGGATAATTTGAGGAAGGCGTCACAGAAAGCCTGATTGTGAGCTGGATCTTAAATGATGAACCCACAGAGAAGAAGGGGGACATTCCAGGCTGAGTAAAATGCACTTGCAAAGGTAGGGGAACATGGAAGAACTTGGTGGGGTGAAGGCAGAGTCAATAGTTTGCTGCCAAGAGTCTGGACTTCAGGAGGATGGGAGGGAGTGACTAAGGCCAGGCAGAAAAGGTTTTACAGAAACAGGAATCACAGAGGTGATAAGAAATAAATAATAACGTTATTTTTAATCATGGTTAACATGGACCAAATGCTCACCATGTGCAGGGGCCGGGGCTAAGTTCCCAGCAAGTATTGTTTCATTTAACCTTCTAGCTTCCTGGGTGGCTCAGACGGTAAAGAATCCGCCTGCAATGCGGGAGGCCTGGGTTCGATCCCTGGGTTGGGAAGATCCCCTGGAGGAGGGCATGGCAACCCACTACAGTACTCTTGCCTGGAGAATCCCCATGGACAAAGGAGCTGACATGACTGAATGACTAAGCATAGCATACAGCAGCTCTATAGGGCAGATCACGTCTCCAGTTTCATGCCAAGGAGAAGCAGATGAGAACAGCTGGCCAGGCAGGTGTAGGCAAAAAGGGTTGCATTGTCTGCAAGGAATTTAAACACAATAATAAACCTAACTCAAAGACAATCTGCTTTATATTTGCACAAGTGACAAAACACTCCCTGCTGCCAGGGCAGATGGCTTCCACATACTCCTCTCCACAGATGAGGAAACAGAGTAGGCTCATGGGCCAGGTGGGACTGCTAATGTGGGTAGCGGTACGGGGGGGGGGGGGGGGTGGGGGCGGCTGGAGAAACAAGAGAGGCTGGAGGCCAAGAGACTGACTAAGAAACTATTCAAAAACTCAGGAGTCGGAGTAATCGGGATAGAGAAAAGATCATATTTAGGAGATTTTTTTTTAAATGGCATAGAATTGACAGATCTTGGTAAGCAGTACTATGGGTAAGGCAGAGTCTAGGATAATTCTGAATTTCCTACTGTTGGGGGCAAGGTGGTTGGAGACGCTGTTCCACCAGTATGGAGTCAGGAAGAGAGCGGACTGGGCATTTAAAGTCTGAAATGTGATCAAGGTGCCTGTGGGAACTCCAAGGGGAGGAGCGAGGTGAGGTGCAGAGATTCAGGTGGGGATCCCCAGAGGCGGGTGCTGGCTTGCATCTCCTTGGTTACAGTTCAGATCTCTTGACCCCCTCCTTGATCCCCAGAGCTGATCTCCTCTTTCTGAGCTCTCTGCACCTTGATTGAGAAACCACTCAGATGAATATTTCACCCTTGGTGTTACGTTAGCACTGGCATGTGAGCGTACAAGGCAACTTTCAAAATTTTTAACAACTCACATGGCATAGGAATGGAGCAAGCAGAACACTCATCTACGTTTCCGGTGAAGCAGGGCCTAAGGACCCCCACCCCTTTTGGATAGAGACACAAAAAAGAGTGAAAGTATATTGCAATAATAAAACCCACAAAGAGCATTCAAAATATACAATTAATGCCTGTCTTAATAAGAAAAAATTCCAATAGAAAAAATTAGCAGAATACTCCAAAATTCATTTTATATAAAGAGACTACAACTATACTGTCCTATAGATATAAGATGTTAAACCACATTAGTAATGTTTGGGAGTTTGGGAAATCTGGGTCTGTCCATGGAGAGAGGCCAGGGTGGCCAGGATGCCAGCAGGGAAGTCAGGGGGTGTCCTTTATTGGAAATACTTCAATATTTTAGTAACTAATACAGCCATGATATTGTGTACAGCTCAACATCAGCCTGAATACCTAATTTACTCAGTACACGTTGATACATGTTACTCCAGCTCTTGGTGGTGATGAGTTGGTGAAGGTCTTTGGGACGCTACGGACTTTAGCCCGCCAGGCTCCTATGTCCGTAGGATTCTCTAGGCAAGAATATTGTAGTGGATTGCTGTGCCCACCTTCAAATGATCTTCCTGACCCAGGGATTGAACCTGCATCTCTTACGTCTCTTGCACTGTTTACCACTAGCACTACCTGGGAAGCCCAAAGAATTGGGAAATATATCTTTCCAAAAAAGAACCGAGTAATAATGCAACATGCCTATATACTAGCAATAAAGAGTTACAAAGGAGAGCTTTTTTAAAAACTACAAAAAAACCCCCCCAAAACCCTAGGGATAAATCTGACAAAAGATGTGCAAGATCCATTAAATTAAAAATGATAAAAATCAATGGGAAGACAGGAAAGAAGTTCTAAATAAATGGGAGAGATGTACTATGTTCAACTATGAAAAGATTTCATATAAGAAAGATGTGAATTCTTTACAGCATAATTGCTAGATTCAATAATTGATAGAATTTAAATTAAAATCTGAACAGGGTTTTTCATGGAAATTAACAAGGTGATTCTAAAATGTGTATAAGACAGTAAGTAGTCCAAGAATACCTAAGGTATTCCAGAAGAAGAATGAAGAAGAGAGGCAAGTATAAGGGTAGAAGGAGGAGGAGGGGAGAAAAAGGAGGAACACAGCAACAACAGCAATAGCAAGTTAGAGGAGGGAACTTGCCCTAGTAGGTGTCATTATCGAGTTGCAGTGGTTAAGGTGCTGAGGTTTTAGCACAGAGATAGACCAAGAGAAGAGTGACCCAGTAAAATAGCTGGCAAATATGGAAATTTGATATATATAGAAGTTGCAATAGAGAACAAATTTATAAAGTCAAGAAGAATTCTTATTGAGACACCAAAATCACTGCACATGGTGATTGCAGCCATGAAATTAAAAGACACTTGCTCCTTGGAAGAAAAGCTATGACCAACCTAGACAGCATATTAAAAAGCAAAGACATTACTTTGCCGACAAAGGTCCGTCTAGTCAAAGCTGTGGTTTTTCCAATAGTCATGTATGGATGTGAGAGTTGGACCATAAAGAAAGCTGAGCTCAGGAGAATTGATGCTTTTGATTTATGGTGTTGGAGAAGACTCTTGAGAGTCCCTTGGACTGCAAGGAGATCCAACCAGTCAATCCTAAAGTCAGTCCTGAATATTCATTGGAGGGACTGATGCTATAACTGGACCTCCAATACTTTGACCACCTGACGTGAAGAACTGACTCATTTGAAAAGACCCTGATGTTGGGAAAGATTGAAGGCAAGAGGAGAAGGGGACAACAGAGGATGAGATAGTTGGATGGCATCACCGACTCAATGGACATGAGTTTGAGCGAGCTCCGGGAGTTGGTGATGGACAGGTAGGCCTGGCGTGCTGCAGTCCATGGGGTTGCAAAGAGTCAGACACAACTGAGCGACTGAACTGAACTGAAGACACCAAAGTACATATTGCAAATGAGATTAATACATTTGGTAGTAGTAAACTTAAGTCGCTATTATTCAACTGACGATACAAAACAGAATGTGAAGATATTTGCAATACATGAAACCAACCAAAGAACATTCAAAATATACAATTACTGCTTGTGCATCTATAAGAAAAAGACAAACATTCCAACAGAAGAAATATACTAACAAAAGACACAAAGTTTTCTTTTCAAAAAAAGACTCCTACCCTATAAAAGTAAGAAAAGATGTTGAACCTTATTAGTAGTTAGAAAAATGCCAAACCACAATTGGACAGCACTTCACACCCACCAAAATGTACAAAAAACACACATTGGATGATACTGAGTGCTTGTGAGAATGTAGAGCGGTGGGAACTCTCGCTCATCACTGGTGGATGCGTAGACTGGCATAAATACCTTAGGAAATGATTTGGCATTGCCTGGCGAAGCTCAGGGTGTGTGTGTCCTCCATTTGCTCTGCAATCCCACACCTACACTTTATCTAGAGAGACTCTTGTCCATGTGCAGGTGCATGGGGAAAGAATTATGTTGA